AACTACACAAACGGTGTGATATTTTGCACACCACACAAAGCTGCAATTAAAACCATGTAAAGTGATTTGTAGAACCTGAACATGGAAAAAAAAAAGCATTGGACAATTTTGAATTGAACATGGTCCATGTATGTGAATCCATTTATTTATCCAATTATCCCTGCTGCACAAGTAAAATGCATCATTTGCACATCACTTGGGTGATATGAATAAGCTATAATAATGGGTATGATTTACAGAAAAGGCTGATATTTTCTTGATATTCTTTCCCGAGGTTGAAATAGTTCTGTATAAAGTCTAGGCACGTACAACTCATGATTATGCACTTCCACGTGGTCACTGAAACAAGAGAAAGAGGATGATATCACATTCGGTCTAATATTTCATGCATGATAATAGCTTTCTTCATTTGAGAGGAAAATTACCAGGCAAAGGTCAGGTTAGTTTCGTCGCATACAACAAATATGGTGACTTCATTCAAAATGTATATGCGTGTCTCATGTTAACACACCACCTCACACACATGCAGATGTATCCAATGCACAGCGTTTCTCAGAGAGTGGGAGTAGTGACTCATCTGAGATGAAGCCATTTGCCTGAAGAGAACCCGGGTTTCTGTCTGAAGGTCAGGCACGATGGTTGTGTGACACCGCTGATGAGTGGCGCTGGTTTCAGCTCAGTGCATCTGGTGGCATTCTGACGCGATCATTAAAGGAAATGTAACGACAGCAGGATGGCTCAGCTGCAGCTGAATGCTTTTGTCAAAGTCGATTCCATCCAAGATTCATTTCTATGACCCTTCGGGATTTCTGAGTGGATGTTAACACGTCTTAACTTATTTTGCAAAACAGAATGCAAATCCACTAAATGTAGGTTTATAGTTTTGAGTGTCTGGAAGAGTAAGAAATATATCAATTCACTTTGACTTTGACAGAGTGTTAGAACCACAGTTCTGTGAGCAGAGGTGTGCAACAGATTGAGACTCGGCGAGAATACCAATCCATCATCATAATGGACATCCATGTGGGATGTGAATGGAGCCTTTAAATCTGCTTAATGATGTATACGATTTCAACAACCTTGACAGGAAGGTAAAAATTGAATTTTAACACAAATTAAGTCATTTTGAATAAGTAATTCTCTTTGACAAATCTGTTGCCTTGTTAATTCGATGGTGGAACAAGTTATTCAGCCCCCCCCAAAAAAAAGATCCCCATGAAACATTTAGAGAACGAGGGTAAAAAATGAAGCTACAGAAACTGGCCAAAACTGGGGGTTGAAACAGCAGTCTCAGCCTCCACTTGTATGCTTAACACGTTTAAGGAGGTGACTCATGCTGGACAGAGAGCAGCGCTTCCTTGATGACGGCACTCCAAAAAGTCCTCAACCTCTCTGCTGCAGAAACCACAAGAATTAATGATGGAATTAAGTGTGAAAGGTCTGTGTGTTCTTTTACCATTCTCATTAGAAAAGACATCCTCATATTTTATTCTTTCAAAAGTAAATGCCTTATGGTATACTTCACTAGTTACACTTTTTAAAGATTACCTACACCATACTATTTTATTATATATATTGTAATCTGGTGTCGGTAATGATACTCTGTATAAAAACTGAAAAGGGCAGATATTGCCACTGGAAACCAAACTCTTGAAATGTATCCGTCTTCCAGTCCCAGAAGGATACTTGTTTTCATTCCAAGTGTCAAACTATATTTTGAGCCATGCCTCAGGGGAATTTGAAGTCCTTTGTGTCTTATTTGCCCAAAACAATCACCTTTACTAACGAGTGTTGGGTTCTGGCTCGAAGGCCCATTTCAAAACAAGGTTCTTTTATATTGTACTGCTAGCTGCTGTTGTCCTTTGAAAGAAAATACTATGGTTTCCACTGTGCATGCATTTAATTAAATGTAATTGAGTATGGCTTACGGTGTAGAAATATAGCACAGTACAGAGTATGGGTTGCCTTACATCTGAATATTTAGAAGCCAAAATATGAAACCATCATATGAACAAGTTGAACTGGAATTGGCATTAAAAAACATTTAAAAAACATTTAATGCCAGCGATGAGTCCAGTAGAAGACTAGGTCATATTTTCATCAAATCCATGTGGTCAGGTTCCTTGTCTGGCAAACTGCTTCCCAGCTGCAGACATCAGAAACTGAATCGAGGCCAAACAGGACCAGACCAATAATTAGTCCAGGCAGAAATTCATCATTCCAGTTGAGGGACGCCTGCAAAGCTGACCTCCCGTCTCAAAGCCACAGGCATCCACAACTGGCAGAGTGGGAATAATCTGCTCAAGGGGAAGTTCATCATTTTCTATTCTATTCCGTATTTGCAAATGTGGGGAAAGTCTCAACAGCCTTTGAAGACATTTCCTTAATTAAATTTTAACAAACATACTGATTTCGTTTCATCTCGCTTTAGGGGAAAAGAAAAGAAAAAGGAAACGCAAACTTCTCCGTGTAAACTTTGAAAGTGCCAGAGTCAATATTCCAGAAATTGCTGTTGCCAGAGGAGATGATATTGGTTATATTAAATGTTCCTTGAACATTAGCACCAATTAGTGAAAGTTCACGCTCAAGGAGAATGTCATTCAGAATTTAAGTGAAAAAAAGGGCACTTGGCATTTTCCTTCAAAAGTGAGACAGTGTCTATATTGATTTCTTTCCAAGTTTGTCAGAAGAATCCATTAGCCTACAATTGCTGCCCTCCTGCTGCGCAAGAATGAAGAGGCAGTGTGGGTGTCTTTGGAGCTGCACTCATCAAAACCTTTTTATCTTACCTAACACGTCAAGGAATCAGCGTGAAAAAGTATCGATGGAGGAAGAAAGAACGAGCTCATTTGAAGCATTAGGAACTCTTTCCAAAGATTTTGGGGGTGTCAAAGCTTTAAAGTTCATCAGAAAATCATTGACATGCATTCCAATAGTGAGTCTCAATGCATCTCAACTTTTCATTTTAATGCAGCTAACAAACTGTAGGCAAAATTTCAACAAATGATTACCTTGAAACTCCCATATTTCCCTTAAGGATTTTATGATTACATGCACCGCTGTGCCCAGCGGTGTTACATGCAAAAAGCTTGACTGTGACAGGATACATTTAGACTCAGTATAAACCTAGGTCTGCAGAAAAGCCAGGGCGAGATGTGTGGGTGCTGGAAATGGGTCTCATTATTTCTTAAGATAGAGCAGAGAGCTCTTAAAGTGAGAAAGAAGAAAAAAAAAATCATAATTACCTTACATACCCACACATAGGTACAACAAGACACACAAGGCTATAACACAATGGCTGTTTTCTTTCAATAAAAGAGTTTCTAACTGTTACATATACTTTTGTATTAATACAAGAAAACAGCTGGTGCGTTCTGATAAGAATCTGTATTCACACAATCCATTAGACCCTGCTTTCCTCTGAATGGGAACTTGGCCTTATCCTTTTAGCAAGCGTGGAGAATTAAAGAAAAAAGATTCAAATCCTTGGGTACTTTTAGTCTTTGGTTAATACATGTTTTGACATATTTAAGTGCCAATTCTGAGCTTTGTACTGCACTAATGAATTGGTACAGTAAGGCAATTAGGGACCAGAGGAGAAATTCTGTCTCAAAGCTTCAGTGTCTAAAGCCCATAGCCTTGGTCCTTTCAAAACGTGTCTGTAATTAATTCATTTCTTGAATTTTATATCAAAGCCAAAACTACTTCAAAATTTGCTTCCCTCCCCCAAGAATTCACAGTGTTAATTTCATCAGCTAACTTTTGCTGCGTGGTCATGACTTTCCCTAAAAATGGAATAATGCCCATTAAAGTTTTTATAGGAGGCTGTGGTTCAGTCATTCAGATTGTACTCATCTAAATATGGATATTTGCGAGTGATGGCCTCGAGAAGACTGAAGGTCTGAGGGGAAAAAAAAGGGGAAAAAAGTGGTCACAAGTGTTTCTCAGTACATTCAACAACAAAGCATGCCGTCCACGTAACATTCTCAGAGGTGCAATTAGAATGGAGACGGAGCTCCACTTAGATTCTAACTGTGCTGCCAGTAAAACACATCCATAATCAACTGGACTGTTTCAGCCCCCCCGCCCCGCTCCCAAGAAAAAAAGAAAAGTTTCTAAAGGAAAACCCACTTTAAAAAAAAAAAGCCACTAAAAATATTCATTTGAATCAGTTAAATTATACTCCAGTGATATGTTCTATACTCTGGATTTAGTATTGTGAAAAACAAAACAAAGGCAAAAAATAGCCATGTGCACAGGAAAGCATCCAAAACGGTATCTAAAGAAAGACTAATTACTGGGCTGGAATAAAAGAAAGGCATCACATGGCATCCACAGGTATCAATCCACACACAACAGACTCCCTATACACACACTCACACACACACACACACACAACTGAACAACTGTGCTTTTAATAGACTGACTGTTAATCAGTTGCCTGTGTACAGGGAAGGTTATTAGAGTATCATTAGTATGCTTTCCCAATTGCACATAATGAAATGGACATTCACATTTTGCACATTTCATTAGCAGAAGCCTTTGCCATGTTTTATACCGTAAACTCTTTGATACACCACTCATCTGTCAAAGCCCAACCATCTAGCCTTGAAATGCTCAACTGGAGTGAAAAATTCAGTCTCAAAAATAGCCAAAAGAAACCACGCAAATTCTAGCTTTTCATTTTCTTCTTCATTTGCAGCATCTCATGCCAAAGAATGTGGTTGAATTATCTATATGCTTCACATATTTACTACAAAAGGGACAGGTGCCGTTGCCTCTTAACCATAATAGAGGTTCGCTTTGTCTATTGCAAGCAATGAAGAAAGGAACAAATTGACCAAGAATCAAAGCAATGAATAAAGGAATAAATGGACCAAGAGGCAATGTGCTGGTTTTCAAGTGGCAACCACAGATAGGCCTCTGTGTTGTAGGCCCTCATGTTTCAGCCTTCAAGACTCCCATTGATCTGTCCGAGGGCCCGCTGGAAGCTGATGGACTGACAAAGCAGTCAGATGCTGTTGGTCCAGCTTTGTGAATCCTCCCGGGGTATGCTCGTGCTGGTCCATCTCGGAGCTCCATTCCTCGCACTGTCAGACAAAGGGGCTGAATATGCCTAGAAGTTATGCCATCGTGGAGCCTGGATCTCAGAGCTGCTGCTGCTGCTTTTAAGTCAGTCGAGAGACCTCAGGCAGGAGAGCAGAATGTGCAAGTCCAAGCTTTAGTCAGGAATATATCTTTTTTAAAAGTACATTTCATATGAACATGTGTGGAGGGTCTGGAGACTCATATTCAAGGGGGGAGGGAAAAGAACATGGTAAAAAAAAAAGCCATTCTGACATTGAAAGCTTTGTTAGAAGGACTGACATTTTTTCCATCAGAAACAACTTGAGTTTAGCTTCACAGTGGGCCAACAGTGCCACTAGTCTCTAAAACAGATGTAAGGATTACTGAAGCCCTCAGCATCTGGCACCTCACTAGCCACTTCTGAAAAGTCATATAGAGTTTGGAAGTGTGAGAAAGATGAGTTGATACACATAAATTCGGTGGGTAAAGACACAACGATGGCTGTGTGAAATCAAGTTAACACACATGCAACCTCTCACTCTTTGCTGCTCCATTCATCTCCTTTCTTCATTGCACCAAACTATCAAATTAAGCACAGATGCCAAAAAAAGTTATTTTAATAAAACAGATCGGCTGGAGTGTCAAACATGGTGGCTGTGGCTTCATTGTTGGGAAAGCCGGCTTGAGCAGTCGAGGAAAGCAGCAATGTAGGAAAGTCATTTCTTTTCAGCACAGTGTGGAAGCAGATAGCAGCAAGCCATCATGAAGCACAAGCCACGCTCTGGACAGCCATTCCTCCGGGTAGGGTACAGGGTGATGACACACATGCACACACACACACGTGCAGTCTTCTGAGACAAGTGTCAGAAGGCAGCATGTTTCTGTGTAAAACATTTTCTGATGGCATGACAATTTCAGAGACGGTAAAGGCATGACTGGAAAAGAATTAAATTTACAAAAAGGAAATGGAAAAACAAACTGAGGAAACAGATGATGTTGACTATTGGTCAGTGAAAAAAATGTCAGGTATTAGTTATTGATCACAACTCAGCCAACCCGAGTAATTCCTATCATCCCAAAAAGTTTTTTTTTTTTAAATATCAATTAATTACTCACAGCAAAGCAAAATTAAAACGTCTTTCTTTTCACCAACATCCGGAGAGTGGATAAATATAATTTAGACAAAGCATAAATTCTTCTTCTGTGAGCAGTTTGTCACAGGAACACTTCTATGTGTCAATTCTAAGATATTAAAGAAATATTTGAGATCAGCGTTGCAACACAAGGTCAGGCTCTCCTGATGGGTGAAAAAGTGCCAACAAACAAGAAACATGATTTAGGTTGATTTTATAGCTAAAGTGATCAAACTTTGAGGTTGAAAAAGTGCTCAGTATTTACATGTCACGCCTCTGACCTCTTTATTCAATTCATCTATGGGATGCTGTGTCTGAGAGCAGCATCTACTCAAGCTTATTCTGCTTTACTGAATTAGTGCTCGTAACTGTAGAACTGTGGAATCAGGCATTTCCAAAAGCACCCTGCTTTGTTCATCAGAAGACACACCTTGCCTATTCTGCATTGCCTTTAATAACATACAACAAAAAACACTGCATGCGGCTCAGTAACCCAGCCCGAGTACGAGGCCAACTACACCACAAGGACATTGGATAGAAAAAAGGTATTGTTTGTGCTACTGGGATTAATTAAAAAAAAGTGTGAACCCCACAGCTGGAGCAGATGCATTCACACACGACTCATTCTCCAGTGGTTGTCAGGCACAAACAAATAAAGATCAATGCCAACATGTGCACACTGGGAGGATAATGGCAGCTCATATTTTAAGGCTCATGGCATTTATTAAAGGATTGATTCTCAGCCGGCTGAGGAGACAGAATTCAGATAACATGCTTGCAGCGGTAGGCCAATGAATGAAAGACAGCTATGATGGGATTTTAGAAACCTGTACTCCGCAGCTCATGCCCAACCAGAATCTGAAGTGATGCCAGGAATAAAAATAAAAAAAACAGGAAATATATAAGCAGCTTCAATAAATAGCACTAAGAGGTATTTTAAGAGATTTATATTTAATTAAGCTTTTCTAAATGTGGGTCTAGACAATTAATTTATCTATTTATTTGTGGGCCAAAGCAAAGAAGAAGGAAACCACAGATTTGCTTTAGCTCAAATGTAAGAATCTAAGGCACTAATCTCCAGATCATTAGACAGATGTCTTGTTTCTCTGTTACAGGCAATTTCAACAATATTATCGTTAAAACTTTTTGTTAAAGTCTTTGCTTGAAGTCACTGGACCGAAAGCGTGTCATTCCAATTAGCTTGTGAGCAAGCAGCATATTCATATCAGACTAATTCCGGCACATCCATCCATACCAGTCACCTGCATAGTGATTACATAATGAGATTTCACTATATTCTAATCCACTTTATCTCATCTGGTAATTTAACATTCCTAAAAGGGTCACAAACATTTTTGTCGATGCATTGACTGAAGTCATTAGGCTCCTCAATGACCAAACTTTGTGCAGTTCCAGCATTTTTCTTTTTAATGTCAGTAGTGATTTGTCAGTTATTTTGGTTTAAACCATTTTGTTTCCTTAGATTTATGTGATCTGAAACACTTCAGGGTTGCTAATTTGTTACTAATCTATGAGCGAGCCCATTAAGATCCCATTATGTTCCACTTTAGATGGCCCTCAGTTTGATTAAAACTGGCCCCCGATTGCTTCCCGTCTCACTCTGACTGCCAAAGGACTTCATACTCTGATCACTGTTAATGCTCCCACGTTGAGCAATTTACATTTTAAAATACAGCCAGTTCTAATAACTGTCACTTACAAAAAGGCATAAAAATGTATCAAGCACCACGGTACTCCCATTATTTGATTTACTTGGCTGTTATATTTCTACCAAACCAAATTTGTACCTACAGACAGACTTGCAGAAACATTTGATCAAAGCATTCAATAATCAAATTCTCTACTTCCATAATTGAATTGCACTCAGACAGATATTGCAAATATTACATTTCACAGATCTAAAGAAATACGTTTGGTCATATTTAGTATCTGGAGAGTAAGAAAGAAGAACCTATGCAGCATTGCTTGGCTAATGAGCACAAACTTTTTTTTTTTTTCCAATGAGTTGATATTCTAATGTCTGAATTAAAATGTGCATTTTTATTTTAGGCAGACAAACCGATTCATCCTTCACCATTTCATTTTGAGACAAAGAAGCACTCATCACAACATAAATACTATTTCCACAGGCTGCCTTAAATTGCAGACTACCAACGTCACCCTAACCCTCTTTAACAATTTGTTTTTACTTCCAGATATCACACTTTAAAAGTAAGCCTTCTTTGGCACAAAACATTTAAATATTTTTTTAAAGAGCAAACAATGGAGAAACTGAAGTGTGTGCTATTATTCATTTTTGGCTCATTGCACTTACTTTTCTCCCACTTATTTAAAGAACAAGGTGATTGTGACTCAGACTGGTTTATATGCTCCCAACATTGAACACATAAAAGCACTTTCTGACAGAGTTAGAGCTCAAATTATTTAAACGGTTCTCCAGAGCCATTTCGAAAGCCACCAGACTTAAAGTAAAAGTGCACTTCTACCATAAAGCCATTTCATCTAATTATAGGACTATGCCAAAGATTATGAATGGGTTGTGTTGCGATTTTCCTCCTTTAAAAAGCAGGGCCAGGAGTTAAATCTGCTCAAGATAAAAAGATAAAATTAAAAAAAAGTGAAATTGTTCTAAAAGTTAAAGATATTTTCAGCAAAGGTTTCAGAAAACGTTAGTCTGGAAAGATAGATTGACTCCCATACACCAACAATACAGTATGCATTTGTCTTCAACACGTTTTGTGCAAAATCTGCTAAATATTCCTCTACAACCTGAAGGTTTTGTAGAAATCCTAAAATTGCCTACTGATCCTTTACATCTCCGATTCTGAAGAGACATAAGTAGAAGTAGTATTTTAGAAGACCTCCAGAAACCATCAAAAATGTCTGAATTTACTCATGCAATTTATTGTCTTGAATCTATAAAGTGAACATTCAAAAAGGTCTGGATGGGTTAATGGAAGAAAACTGTCTAAAAGTTTGGAGAGCTGTTTACTGCTAGGAATTTACCACAGATCCCACACTGCTCTTTAACAGATGACATCATCCATCACACTATTTGTCATATTAATACCATCTCGTAAAATGTCTCATCTTTTGCTGTCTATTTACTCTGCCTGCTCGTGTCCCAGCAGTGCATCTCTTACAAACAGCATTTCATCAACATGCACCCTTACCGAGGTAGAGGGATGATTGTGACTTGGGAAATGGGTTTAAATTAGGCTTTCAAAAATTAGGTTAGGGGTTGTCATGGGCTTGTGGTTCCCCAATGACATCCATATCAATGACACAAACTCATTAGGAAGCATGAGCAATGCTGCTGTGAGCAGTGACCCACAGTGCTCGGAGCAGGATGGAAGGACACAGTTTAAGGAAATTGACAGTTCCATTACATACAAACAGGCTGGGCTTAAGAGGAAACGACAGGTCTATTAATGCCACAGGAAAAGCCTGGAAAACATACACATCTTCAGGCTCAATCTAAACAGATTTGTGCACGTGGCTTTCCCTCAAATACTAATGATATTTCACATGATTTCATTTGTCACAGGCATGTGTCAGTCGCTGGAAAAATCTGCATAGATTCACCTTTAGTTAAGGGTTTCTCTTGCCATATACTTTTCCCAGATGGATTGCTGTGGAAGTGAGATTTCTAGGAAACACTTAATGCCACACCAAGTTTTTTTAAATGCAGCATGCAGTCATTCTTGAGAATTTCCCTCCTACTTAATGGTCCAGAAAGTGGTTCATGATGAATTTGTGTGTGCAGCAAAATGATAAACACACATAATGAGGATGACCCTTCCAATAGAGGATTAGTGGGACCCAAGATTACACTGAGGGTTGTGGGT